AAAAGTTTTCTTCTACATCACAACGTTTAAGCACTGTTCATGAATTCACTGTGGATATTACACCGATACAGAGAGCCCACGTAAATCCCTATGAAACCAACCTCTTTACCAAGTAACAACCCAACCAATATCTTTCATGTGACGACGACAATACTGTGGCTCGTGCTGTTCCAGATGCCGGGCCGACTGACACGAGGTCATAGTGGACAGCTCCTGGTGCTGAAGTTATGTCTAATACCCGACTAATAACTGATAAATATGGGTACATATTCATTTAAATCAAACGTGTCTTGCCTGAGAGTTAAGGCTCAAAGCAATATTTTATCAAAATAGATTTACGTCGCACAAACACAAATGATGACGATGTTTAATACTGTGTCACCAGCTTTGCATCAGCTCCTTTGAGCACCGGTCTGGAGTTTGCAAAGCAGATTAACACATACTGTGTTGTACTTTTTCATACTTTAACAATCTGTGCGTTGCAATACCCACACTACCATGCCAGAAAGAGATTTAGTATGTCCCAATACGTAGTATGTCAAATGCAGTATGCCAAAATTACCAAGATGTTCTACTACATCTGGTCGCATTTTGCAGTACGCAAGCCAGCATGCTTTTCTGGATATTCTGACCCACAAACCGCTACACAGTGGAGGATACATCACACTGAGCTGCAAAGAGATGACGGCTGACTGACATCTGTCAGAAGTCGCAATGAGCAGCACATTTAAGTAACAGGTGATCAGTCACATTGTAATTGAATGCTGATTGTTTAAGTGAACAAAACAACCATAAATACCACAAACAGCAATGGGACATAACTACAAGAATGACAACGACAGAGAAAGGCAGATGTGATTTCACTGTGGTAAATATAATGCGTTAGAATCTTCAATCTGTGCAGTTATAACTTTAAAGTTTAACTACATACATCGCAAACAAAATGGTAGCTCATTTTAACGCAAAGGTAACGAAAATAAAAGCAAGAGGGTCAAAGTTTAGGGCGTAATGTTATAAGAAAATAGTATGTCCCAGTTGTGTGCATACTGCATGCAACAGTACCTTTTAAGGAAAGCTACAGTTCATACTAAAAGTAAAAAGACAAAAGCGCCGATTGGTTTGCTTATGTTATTGTTTTTAATGAAGTCTGATTTTTAAAAATCATTTAGTTCTACAGTTTTGCATAACCTGGGAGAACCTATCGTGCGTAAAGAGACCACAAAGCTTTCGCATATGAGCATAAACAGTTTATATAGTGATATATGGCACTGGAGATATTTATAAAAAAATATCTTTATCAGGTTCAGTCAACCTGGATTTATTTTCCAACAGCTCTGAATGTGTAACAGCAATAAACAAAGGGTGCATATTGTTAAATGACATCATAATAAGAGTTGAGTAAATGTGAGCAAAATAAAATAAACATATGGAGAAATGATGCATAAACTAAATACTCTGCATTACTTCTGCATGAGGCTGGTGTTAAAGGGGACAAACGACATTAGATCATACAGCATCTCAAGGGATCAGGGCTGGTGACTCCACGGCACAGCTCCTGTATAAAATGACGGCTGCACTTTAAACCATCTGGTAAACAATGCTCCCCTCCAACATCTCAGACTCTATGACAGGAGGAGTGCCTCTCTCGGTGGACTTCGACAGTCCTGAGGATTATTTCATCTTTATTTTCCAGCTTTTGTTTGCAACAACTACTTCTCTGGTGGCCGGACCTGTGGTCATTGCCATACTGTCCACCAGAGCTCTGCGCCTCCAAAACAGGTTCATCTTCATGCTGAACACCAGTATTTGTGACACGCTGGTTGGGTTTTCAGTCTTTTATCTGGGTCTGTTTGATGTTCAGGAGGGATATCCGTCTAGAAACGGGACTTTTAATGTTTTACCATCACTTCTAGGGATCAATATATTGACGTTTCTGTTCGCTCAGTTTGACAGATATTTTGCTGTGTGCCACCCTTTCATTTACAGCCGCTTTATAACGAGGCAGTTCGTGATAGGCATCAACATCTACTGCTGGGTTTACAACGCTGCTCACCTGCTCGCCAGGAATCTGTTGCCAGTTTCCAAAGCGATACAAATGTACGCACTCAGCATAGTCCTCTTACAGCTGATCGTGCTCACCAAAGTGGTCATGACCATCAAACTGTATGTAATCGCCAGAGTCCAGCTTGAGAGAGATCCTCCCAGCGCCGAGAGAGAGAGCAAGAAGGAATCACTGAGAATCATCATCTTTGTTGTCATAAGCTTCTTGGTGTTGTGGTGCCCCTCTTTTGTGAATATTATCATCAGGTTTGTGGTGGGAGGAGGGCTGACGTTTAGGAACGAGGCCACCAATCTTTTCGCCATCATGGCTCGTTTTAACGCAGTGTGCACACCGTCTGTGTATATCTGGGGGAGTCCGGCTCTGAGGGAGGCCATGGTGAGGACAGTGTGGGGCAGAGTGTGTCCAAGGTGCAAGACGAGGTGAGGAGGAAACACTGCATGCAAAGTTCATTATGTTCAAACTATTGATCTATACATACTGTGATTTTTGATGCAGAGTCTGGTCATTTAAATAATCTTTAATCCTTTTCTCCAGAGTTGGCTCCTGTCATGGGATGGCAGATGTCAAACAGTCATGGAAATAACAAGAACTGATGGACGTCTAATAAACTCCTTTTCCTTTCTCTCCCTCTTTGTTTCTGAATACTTTGGGTTGAAACTATGCAGCCTACTCAATATACAGAGTTTTTTTTATGCATACACTGTTTTCTGAAGTGTTCCCATCACTGGATCTTGCAGGGTAATTTTAATGTTTCATCTGAAATAGTGACAATGTCCTGGGGGATGTACACGTGGACAAAGCCGGAGTGCTCTATCCAGATGTACATGACAGGTGGAGAGCTCCATGTACTGAGCTTATGAGCATTAGGATAAGAAAAAAACTATTTGTTATAACTGATGTTTCCAGTGTGTTTTCAGGCATGGCAAATTGCCTGTAGGTTCATGCTTTGTGGTGCTGAATCCGCCTATTTTTAAAACGCAGTTTCAGCACGCCATGCCCTAATGTTGGCTGATGTTTTTCTTTTATATTGTGTATTCAAGGAGGGTTTGGGGTTGTCTTGTTGTAGCTGTCGGCTTCAAGCTTGCAAACAAAAATTAAACATCTGAAGCGGTGTTAATGTAGCGTGCGTAAAGTTGATTTTTGTACTAGGACAGTTGAAGTTACCAGCGAGCAGAAGAGATAAGCGCACCTGGCTGTCGTCAATGGATTTAAGAATTAAGGGAGCTAGCGCTACAAACTGACAGTTTTGCACAATTTGGGCTTTTTCAGAAAGACCCTGCATGCTGGAGATGAGTAGTGATTAAGAACAAGCCCGGAGCGCTTAATAATTGGGACTGAATTATGTAGAGAACAGACCCTTTTCACAGCCGACAGGTGTATCTAATAATAATGATGATGGCTGCATACCATTTAGGGAAGGCTCTGGTTCTGTGCATGCTGGCTCACTAGAAAAGCTTACAGGGAAAGCTAATGGAACTGAGCCATCATTAATGATGTCAGTTTCCCCTGTACTTTTCCTACAATGACAAGTCAAAATGTTTCCTGTAAAAAAGGCCCATGAAAGCAAAGAATTACCTGATGTAGGCCTCCTTTCCTACTGTTGGGTCCAAATCTATTATTGAATATGAAATACAAGGAATGGGAAGACGGATAACACACAGCTTAAATGCTATTATCTAAATTATTTAATGGTGTTTCTTCTAAAAAACAAATCAAACGTAATGGTATATATCAAGGTTATTTTGTAACACTTTATATCACACACCTACACATAAGTGATGATCGGGTATATGGGCATATTCCATGTTTGAAAATAATTTATCTATAGTGAAAGGTACAGGCAAAACATTTCTACTAAAAAGAATGTTATTTTTAATAACTGAGATCTGTTATGCCTATGTATTTTATACAAAATATTTATTGTGATATATATGTATACTCCTTTTTTAAGAGAAAATAATGAACATCAACATGGCCAAAGGTAATGGCTTTTACGTTAGAGGTAATACAATTTTGAATTACTTCTACTATCTCTATGCTGAGTAAAAGACAAATGTACAGACCCCACAGTCTCTGATACAAGTTTCTACTTTAATTCTATACATGAATAAAAAATAAATAAACACCGGCCTATTTCTTCTTCTTCTTTTTTTTTTAACAAGTGAAGAAAGTGCTAAATCTCTCAGATTAAAACACTGTCACATATTAAATAAAGAAAATAAGTGATTTAAATGGCCATTCTAAACTCTTTATTCAAGCATCAGCCCCTGACCAAATCTATGAAGGAAAAACTCACATGAAAATGATCAGAAATCTCATTATGGAAAAATCAAAGGGACACCAGCCAGCCCATCCCTTCATGACGGACTGGAGGTGCAATGAGAGTTGTTAATGGGCCATGACAGTCACAGACATTAGAGTACTACTGCAAGTAAGAGACAGTCCAATAAAATGCGAGTGCAATATTGTATAAGTCCAGTAAGTTAATTCAGTAGGTCAAATATGTGTTAACTATCTGCACAGACCTACTGTATATTGTAAGAATCTAATTGGGCTCACTTTAGTAGCTGAATCAAATTCTCTAAACAGCATAGAGAACTGATATTTGTGCATTCACATGAAAGCAAACAACCTAAAATATAAAATAATGGAAATATATGGTAAAGACTTGGATGTCATTTGGGTAGAAAACGTGACCTGCTTCAAAAGGTTACAACAGCAGAGTAAAGCTTTGTATGGGGATGTGGTAAAAGCATTTTCAAAGCTACAAGAGCCTCATTTGTGATACCTTAGTAGAGTAGGTAATTTACTTACATTTGACTTTATACTCAAATGTTTATATAACATTACGTTCCAGACATGAGCGGCAACGCTGAGAAACTAAAAACAGAAATCTAATACTTAATGAGCTTTACAGATATTTATTGTTTGAAAGGTTTTCATTGCTGTGCTTCATTATTACAGATTAAATTATCGAGAATTATATTAAACATGTTGTTATCAATAAAACTATACAACATACCACAATATAATTGCGTCTTTATTTTTTGCAGACTAGACTCTTTCACAGCATTGCAACATATTCATAATTTGTATTGTTGTTTTCACATACCTGTCATACCTAGTATTTTTATTATCTTTACTTTGTCTCCACTTTTTCCCAAACACCATACCTCATCAATCCTGTTCAAATAAGCTGCTCTGAATACATTTTTGTGGATCACAGATATTGAAAATGACAGTGGATATGAATGCAAAGTCAATGAGTGCAACACGTTTTACTGCTTATAAGGTGTTGTCTGAGCGATTAAGCTTCAGGCACAAGCAGACAGAAAAATGTGTGTATGGTCGTACCTCAGAAAGGCAATAACTGCTGGTCTGAAATGCAACAAAAGTCATTTTATATTTATTAACCGTAGGAGAAACAATGTTCATTTTGGTCATGCAGATAAGTAGGAATTCATTAACATTATTACAGTGAGATGACATTCTTGGTGCGCTGTATTGTAGTGAAGTTTAATAAATAGTGTCCTGGCCTGTTTTTCCCTCCGTACTGTCCTACACAACAACTTATGCTGCTTAACAAGGCAAAAAAAATGGTGTATCAGTCTGCATGTGTTGTATAAACATGTATCCAGTTTTTCATTTTCAACACTGACAAACGATCTGTACAGAAGTTCCTGGAGATGACTCAACTGATAAACAGATTGCTTATCTTCAAAACCACCTGCTAATTCAGTCAACTTCAACTGAGCGCTGAGAGAAAACATGCATGTTTCTTGTTGAGTTTGTCTGTCATCACCTGTTTCAGCAGCTGTTACGTAGAGTCCATTCAGACACTGTTTAAAGGTTCCCTCCATGTGTCTTTGGCCGCGTGTTTGAGCGTGATATAATCATGTGTATGTATGTTAAATTTACCGGTTCACTAGAGCTTGTGAATTTGTTTAAATACCACTGAAGAATTTCCCTGTGAGGGTGCGAGTTTATTCAAAGCTGACATGATATGCACTGATGACAGGGTGTTTATTGAGTGAGGAAGTGTGTGAAGTTGTGGGTGTGCGTCATTTCTACCACAGTGTCCATGGCGGCTGCTTTAGTGGGAATGAGGCCAAAGAGGAAACATTGACAGGAATGGAAATGACAGCCCACGGCAGCGCTTGTCTCTGAAGAGATCGCCTGATCATCATCCTAGAATACAAGGAAAAGAAGAACATTTGTTTATGTTCTGATATGTATTATATTAATGTAAGACTGAGTGGTTGTTTGTGTGTTTGCATGTCTTACCCATCGCGGCCCAGCAGGAACAGAGCAGGTATGCTTGGTTTAGCTGTGCTTCCATCGGTGATCATATCAAGGTACTGACTGTCATTGTCCACTGCATTATCAGCGATCAGAACAGCTTTGCCTCCTGCTTCCTCTACATGTCGGGCCTTCTGTACAAAGGAGCAACCTCTGGAGGGCACACAAAAACAGAGAAAGTGTGAGACACTATTTTAAAATGTGGAAATCATCTGTTGTTACTTCAAGGCAGTTTGATTTGCAGACAGTTTGCAGTAAAAATAAAAGCTTCCCCATAACTTACAAGTAGCAGTGCCATCATTTCACCAGCTAATTTCTTCACACACAAATCCTGTGTGTGACATCTGATACTGAGCACTGCTTAAACTTTTTCTAAACATATACACAAGACCAAACTTCCATTGGTCATGATAGTTAAGGCTTGATTTCTCCTTAGCTGAGGGACTAACATAGTTGCACAAAATCCCCAAAAAGGTTTCCTTAGTTAAGGAAAAACAATAACTCAATTACTGTGTTGAACTTGATTTTACAGCGGCGAAAGTTTGCAAGGAGATTGTTTATTTGCTTGGAGTCACGCTTGTGATGCCTGTTCTTGTCCCATAAATTTGGCTTATAATTAGATAGTGGAAAAAATGGCAGAAGAAACTAAGACAAGAAAAACAAATTGGACAGAGGAGGAAAGGATTTTACTTCTGGAGGAACACAATCATAGAAAGCACATACTAAAAACAGTTGTAGGAAGAAATTGCAACGAAAATTAATTCAGTCAAATCTACAGTGTCAAATCAAAGTCATATCCACTGAGTTCTCCTGGTCGCAGAACACTCTTCTCAGGGTGTGTTTTTTTTTTTTTTTTTTCATTTATCACCACAAACTCGGTCATGCTGCAGTTAAGACAGAGTCAGAAGTACCTAAAGTTTTTTTATTTTTTATCTTGCTTTGGTTGCTAAGTTCTCTTGCACAACAGTCTAGGGATTCCCTAAGTATACGACCAAGACAAGGAGAAAACCATAAATATTTAAGTAAACATTTTAAGGAGACCTTAAGGAGAGGACTTAAGGGTGTTTTGTGCAACTGATTTTGTTATGAGGAAACGTCAACAAGGACTTCAAGGAAAATCTTAACTTAAGGTGTTTTTTGCCCCGGGTCTGTAACTTTAAGTCTCTACAGGTGACTCAAAATTAAGCAAGAATACCGTAGGTTTGTTTTTACACTATTCAACAGGGCACATTTGTTGGAATTTTGGTCTTTCTTGAACAACCTGAATATCATTGTACTGCTGTTATGCCTGCAGTTTTGTTTAAGTATATTTACAAGGGCTGGAAGTCAGAGCCAGTATCTCATGTTTACCATGTATACCTCAGTTTGGGAAAGAGGTTGTGCAACCAGGTCTTGACATACTGTATTGACCTTTAAATGTCAACATGTTTATTTCAATGAGGCCTGTTGCTCTTTAGATAAGAACCTAGCTCCCAGGAAAAGGGCTGGGGGTTTCCCCTGCTACATTTTGCTCTTATATCTCCAGTCAAAGTTGCAGGAAATGCAATGCCCTTTGGCCCAGAAGGACTATTTCCCATATACCAATGAAACAACAAAGCAAATTTACTAAGAATGCTTTATTAAAAAAAGGCACAATTTTAGCTAAAAGTCCAAAGTGAATTTAAAATATTATGCACAACTGGGGCTGGGCGATAAGGAGAATATTGAGTATCACAGTATTTTGTAGCAAATACACCTCTATTGAAATTGCAACAATATTGTAGGTTTGACTATTGGTGCTTTCACACAATATTAACACATTGAGATTACTGATGAATAATCATCAGTAATGTGGATATAATGATTAATCAGGTAAAAGCTAACAATAGAACAGCTCGAACAGTTTGTTAAGTTCACCCAATTACGTCTCTTTACTGTAATGCTGCCTTTAAAAGCAGGAAATGACAACACATAACTTATTACAATATCCAAAATCTAAGACCATATCTCGTCTTGTATCACAATATCAATATAATAAATACAAACGTCCAGTCTTGTGCACAACCATATCAACACTTTATTTTTGTGCCAGTTGTGAGAGCAGGCAGTTGGTTGGTGAGGCCAGAGACAGACTCTTACTGTATGTGCACATAATACAGGTCTAAAAATGTGGAAACGTGAAAGGTGTTTTTGTCTGTCTATGTGCCAGGGGAGCAACTTTGATTGATCTGGTTTATTACTATTACTATGGTGTGCATTGTTTCCATGTATTCTAAACTTTCCAACTCACTGCTATTAACCACATTATGTTTCTTTTCTTCATAACTGTCTTTAGTTGCTCTTGTAAGGTTCCTATTTTTACTTCTTTTCTATTGTAGTTGTACACACCTCTTTTACTTCTCCATTTATCTGGATCTATTTCTGTCTTTGTGCAGCAGCAACACCTGAACTTTCCCTCTGGTGATCAATAAAAGCTTATCTTATCTTATGCTAGTGGAATGAATGGGCACCATTAAATAACCTTTGTAATGACATCATAGTGAGAATTTTTCTTTTTAGGATTTTTTTTTTTAAATTCCAGAGGTAACAGACGGCGTGCACCTACAACAAAGCAGCTCAAACAGTTTTCTTAAGGCCGGGAGAGTACCACACTGAAGCTTACAACAGTTGCCTTACTGTCCTGCTTCTCAAGTCTTTATTTCTTGGTGCTTTCTCAGTTTGACTCCTTCCTTTCCCCTTCAGTATGAAATGACTCCATCTAGGCTTTAAGTTTCAGTTTCCTACCAGTGGTTTGTGTTCACATTCTCTATGGTTTATAAAAGTAAAGCTATATGTGCTGAGGCATGTGTAAACGTACCGTAAAACCTCATTTAAAAGCCGAGTCCCAATCAAACACCCAGTCCCTTTCACTAGCCCGGTGTGGCTACACATTGTGGCAAATAAATGCCTCTTAGACGCCTGCTATGGTTGCCAAGCAGTAAATCTTTTTTTTATAGAAGTTCTTTGGATGAATATAGCCTGTCAAATTATGTGTCCACTCGTTGATTACCCTGTACGTTATTCATATTCCTCTAGGCTGTAAGGGTCCTCAGATCAAATGAATCAAGACGGTTTTTCCTTAAAAATAAATCCAAATTATGAGCATTGTTTTAACAGGATAAAGTGGTGTTGTGTTGGTATGCAGGGTGCTGTAATCCTAGCTAGATCAAATGAATGATTCATAACTGATATGTTATCTAAAGTCTAATTTTTAAACAAGTAATATTCATACTGGATTAAATAAACAAGTTTAATGTATCTCCTATCTTCGCGGAACGCAGTTTTGTGTGAAAGGAATCAGACACCTGTCCCAGATTTCAGTGATTTAAGCAAATTATAGCCCGAGCTATCAACTGAAGTTTTACTGTACCCTCTCTCCACCAGGACTACTTGTCCATGGATGATTTCCCTGTCTTCCAGGTCTGAGCAGCCATCTGCTGGGTCTGCTGGCACGAGGAAAATCTCATCATAAGATGACGTCTGGGGACCAAAGGAGGGGAGAGGGCTGTAATTAGACGGTGAGTGGACATGAGGCCAACAAATTAAGATCAGAGGAGGACAGAGTACTCACAAAATCTCCTCCAAAATCTTTAGCAGGTGCTGCACTAAAGATGTACCCTATCTCCTCTGGGCTGATGACCCGGAAATAAAGCAGCTCATTGATCCCAAGACCTAGAGCAAAACACACACGCAATAAATAACTGCATACTCATCAGCATGAGGTCAGTGTTAGTAAACCACAGCAGGATGGGAATATGGGAAGTAAATATACCACAGTACGCCTCCACATTTGATTTCACAAGTGACGAATCCTGGAGGCTGCAGCAAAAAGCTTTAGCTCCTGAAACCCTTCAGCTAATTGTAACACCGACCCGATAGCTAAATTAGCTGTGTACCAGCATTTAAAATAGCCTCCGCCCCTTAACTCACCTGACACGCGACTGAACTGCATGAAAACACTCCAGAGATATAACATTAAACCTGTCGTCCGAACAACCTCTGCCATGTTGGAGACATTTATGGAGCTCCCTGACGATACAAAGACGAGACTTCGGTGTGGCTTTATATTTCAGAGCGGTATTTAGTCCATGTGTGCGCCATCCGTTGTACAGTCTGCAGACAACAGAGCAGAGCAGCAGGTTCACAGCCACTTCCGCGCTTCTTTCTTGCGCAAGCGCAACGTGCACAGCCGGATTAACCTGCTAGGAGGCCGCGGGGCACAAATGAGCTGTTGGGCCCCATCTGCTCAGTTTCTGCAAATATTATAACTCTCCAGCTGTGAAGAACAATTTTGATATACACTCACCAGCCACTTTATTAGGTACACCTTGCTAGCACAGAGCTGGACCCCTTTTGGCTTCAGAACTGCCTTAATTCTTGGTGTCATAGATTCAACAAGGTGCTGGAAACATTCCTCAGAGATTCTGGTCCATATTGACATGATAGCATCACACAGTTGCTGCAGATTTGTTGGCTGCACATCTATGATGTGAATCTCCCGTTCCACCACATCCCAAAGGTGCTCTATTAGACTGAGATCTGGTGACTGTGGAGGCCATTGGAGTACAGTGACCTCATTGTCATGTTCAAGAAACCAGTTTGAGATGATCTGAGCTTTGTAACATGGTGCGTTATCCTGCTGGAAGTAGCCATCAGAAGATGGGTACACTGTGGTCATAAAGGGATGGACACGGTCAGCAACAATACTCAGGTAGGCTGTGGTGTTTAAACCATGCTCAGTTGGTACTAAGGGGCCCAAAGTGTGCCAAGAAAACATCCCCCACACCAATACACCACCACCACCAGCCTGAACCGTTGATACAAGGCAGGATGGATCCATGCTTTCATGTTGTTTACGCCAAATTCTGACCCTACGATCTGAATGTGGCAGCAGAAATCCAGACTCATCAGACCAGGCAACGTTTTTCCAATCTTCTATTGTCCAGTTTTGGTGAGCCTGTGTGAACTGTAGCTTCAGTTTCCTGTTGTTAGCTGACAGGAGTGGCACCTGGTGTGGTCTTCTGCTGCTGTAGCCCATCTGCTTCAAGGTTGGACATGTTGTTGGTTCAGAGATGGTCTTATGCAGACCTTGGTTGTAATGAGTGGTTATTTGAGTTACTGTTGCCTTTCTATCATCTTGAACCAGTCTGGCCATTCTCCTCTGACCTCTAACATCAACACTGGATATTTTCTCTTTTTGGGAAAATCCTCTGTAAACCCTAGAGACGGTTGTGTCTGAAAATCCCAGTAGATCAGCAGTTTCTCAAATACTCAGACCAGCCCGTCTGGCACCAACAACCATGTCACATTCAAAGTCACTTAAATCACCTTTCTTCCCCATTCTGATTGAACTTCAGCAGTCTTGACCATGTCTACATGCCTAAATACACTGAGCTGTGGCCACATGACTGGCTGATTAGCTATTTGCATTAATGAGCAGTTGAACAGGTGTACCTAATAAAGTGACTGGTGAGTGTACTTGCCTACTTGAATATTTCAGGGTTTTTTTGCCAGTGCTTTGTACTCTACACCACATTTCAGAGGTAGCATAAATATTGTCTACTTTTTACTCCACTACATTAATTTGCTAATTTTAGTTACTAGTTACTTTCCAGATTCAGATTAATGATATAAAATACAAACATAGTCAACAATTACATTATTATCTTATTATGTATTTATTTACCCTCAAAGAAATTATATGTCCTGTAGTATAGCTACAGTGTTGGGAAGGTTACTTTTGAAATGTAATAAGTAAATAGAATAAGTAATGTAACTATTTAATTACTGTACATCAAAATGACGTAACTTTTTACATTTGATTACTTTCTAGCTCTGGATCCGTGGTGAGTTGATTAATTGATACAATAAAAACTAGAGTTTGTATTACTTTTAGATTGAGGTAAGCCTGTGCTTACATGTGAAGTGCACGTCAGTCAATGTGAGAAATGTGTCGAAGGGAAAGAGGTGTGCTTAATTAGGCTACTGTTGGGTGGAAATGGGATGTGTTTGAGGAGTGGTCTCTGTTCCCGAACCTAGGGCCTGTCCCATTATGCACGCTTGATCACACTTACGCACTTGGACACTTGACATGCGCGTCCATGTGCTTAGTGTAAGTGCTTAGTGTATCCCATTTCTACAACGACCAAAAGTGCAGTGTGCTTGATTTGTACTTTACCCACACTTACGGTAAGACCGCACCTGAGCGGTATTTGGCCAAGTATAAATCCCACAATGCATCACCGCGTGCACGATGCACCACGATTACCTCTTTACCAGGGCTAAAAATACCGCAGTTGATGGATACAGGTGAGTAGTCAAGTCTGTCCCAATTTCGTTTAAATATCCCTGCGTACTTGGCCACTTAATACGTGCTTAAACACTAGGCAAATGTACGTTGCGCGTGGCAAAACGTCATCTAAGTGTGTGTGTGTAACCAAGCGCACTCAGCCAAGTGTGGAAAAATGGGACAGCCCCCTAGTTAGGAAACTAAATTTCAGTCAGTTGGACACCAGCTAGAAGAGCAGATATTCAGCATGGCTCTTAACATCCCAGGAGTAATAGCAATGGTGTTTTTCTATCTGCTGGTACTTGGGACTGGCATCTGGGCTTCTTTCAAATCCAAAAGGGAAAAGAGGAAAAGTGAAGCCACTGGAATGGAGATGACACTGCTGGGCAACCGCAGCATTAGCATGGTGGTGGGGATCTTCACAATGACAGGTGAGGAGAGCACAGCTGACAAAAGTAGGATGGAAACTGTGAATTATAAAGTCAGGATTATTAAGGATATAAGATATCTTTAAACTTCTTTACTGGGTAGGCTCACACACACACACACACACACACACACACACACACACACACACATATGTATATGTATATGTATGTGTATATACATATATACTTAATGCAGACAGGATGGCTTCCAAGATTGTGAGTGTGTGTGCATGTGGGTACGTGTGTGGGTATGTGGACGGATGTGTTTAAGTTGGTGTGAGTATTTTGGACATCATAAAACCCCCATCCAAGGTAACTCATGATTTCAACTTGCAGTATAATAATTATGAACCACGTTTTGAAAGAGATCTAGAGGGCACCAACTGTTCCAAACAAGTGCAATCACCTTTCTCAGAATTTGGTCATAAATCAATGAGAGTTTGTTCAAAAATCACTACAATCAGTGGACTTTGTTTTAACTAAACCATTAAAGCATGTCCCCAGAATGTTTCTGCAGTTGACCAGTAGGAAGCAACAGATTTTCCATTGAAGAGCGTGGCCCAGTAGAGGTTTGGACATGAATGAATGAGCATCTGACTGTCATAAAACCTGTTGTTTATCTTTAAACATTCTTAAACTGTCAAAGGTCTCGATCTCACCCAGCTTTAAAGTTTTAAATGTCAATGCTGGCTTGAACCCATTTGAATATTTATTGGAATTTTAATACAATTAATAATTTTAAGTATGGGTGGCTAAAATATAAATATATATTTGATATTTATATCAATTAAGTAATAAATATATTAAACCACAAAACCTTTCCAGAGAGCATCAGAGACACCAGATGGCTGACTGCGCTAGTTAGACTCCCAGTGTGAGCGGTAGTAGCAGCATCTAACTACCCCACCTTCACCACACTCACCGGGAGCCCAACTCCCCCTGCCTCACTGCCAACACATTCACCAATGAAGCTCAATGAAATGGATGAACTATTACACAAACATCAGTACTCAGATGTCTGTCAGAAATTAGCCAGGGGTGAGGGAAGCAACATAAGGCTAGATGGGGAAATGAGGAGTCAGGTAATGTAATTTAACCCTTATATTGCCAGCTATGGAAGCATACAAGGAACATCAGGAAGAGCCCAGGCCAGACTAACAAACAATTAGTCCTGAGCTAGCAAGCTAAGTGCCAGAAAAAAAGAAAAAGTACAATCCTTTAGCTAACTCCCCAACCAGGAGAAAAAGAGGGTAACAAAAATGGCAGCTCCCCCCTGCAGAGCCTCCTGGCAATGAAGTTGGATTGAATTAGAATGGATGAAACTCAACAAACGACAGAGGCCTGACAGCTTTGAACGTACTCAACATGTAAATGAAACCACTCATCAGCATGGTAACATTCTAGACTTAGGGGTAAACAGTGACAGTGTTTCAGTATCTCTGACCATCACTGTGTGTTTTTTGGTGCCAAACTACAATCAGCAAAGACTAAAGGTGAAGTTTTGGTTCAAAAGAGACTCCTAGATGGCAAGGCTGAGGCAGAGTTCTTTAACATAATTAGTAAATAATCATTTGAGTCTTCATCTTTTGCTTTAAATACTGTTGTTCCACTAAAAGTTAAAGAAAGGATGACAGACAGAATTTCCCCATGGTTAAACAATAACAGTGTTGAAGAGACTAAGAGAATCTGAGGAAAACTAAGCTCACAGTTCACTGTAATATATACAAAGAAGCCATGGCTGCCATGATAATACAGTGTATTATTATCATCATTATTATTCTCTGTCCAAAAAGCTGCTGTTTGTCCACTAAATTACTTGCTGTATGTTAATTCATCCTCTAGCTACGTGGATTGGGGGAGGCTTCATTGTTGGAACAGCTGAGATGGTGTACACACCCTCTATGGGACTAACCTGGTCGATCATGATGATGATTGCATACAGCTCATCTTTTATCATTGGTAAGAGTTTGAAATCACATCTGACAGGATACTGTATGTTTGTATGTGTAACAAAACAAACATAGCCTAACAATCTCTGATCTCAAAAGACAGGTCAATAATAATGATGCTAAGGGATTTTCTAAGAGCAGTCTCACCGTTTTCATCTCACAACTGTAGAAATTGTGAGGGAATGTTGAAGACACATCAGAGGTGGCTTCACGTCAACATATTCATGACTGAGCAAGCTGTTGACATCACAAGCTGTTGACATCATTGTCACTGTTGACATCCTTGAAATGTGTACAGTTAAGGAAATAGGTCATTTATAACCATGATTCCTTATTCATTCATTCATTTTCTGTAACTGCTTATCCTGTTGGGGTTGCGGGGGGGCTAGAACCTATCGCAGCTAACACTGGGCGAACTCAACACAGAGGGTTGGAGCCTCCCACCCTGGGTTCAGATCAAGAACCCTCTTGCTGTGAGGTGACAATG